TCTATCTAATAATCAGATAGAACTGTTAAACAAAGGAATTAAAATGTATACAAAAAGTATTATAACGATTGCTTTTATATTATTAGTAATAGAAAGGCAAACATTATAATACTTTCTTGTTTGCCGTCAGCATTAAGCAAATACGCATTAATATCATTTAAACAAATCTTTGAATGACTAATGAACATTTAATTTCACAAACCTTGCGAACTTAGTCGAATCCAGCTGTGAGATCTTGTGAAGTGCTCATTTGTATCCAGCATGATCGCGTGTTCTCTGCGTGACGGCCGGTCCATGTGAATTGAATGCTTTAAACATTAAACTCGTGATTTCAAATTATGCTGCATTTCAGATGAAATTTAAAGGGGACTGAGGCGATCACGAATTCGTGTAGTTTATGGAACTAATCGCAAAATTTGAGTGGGGGCTGAGTAGTCATTTTAGCTTTGCTATAACCCCCCTAAAAATGTCCTAGCGACGCCCATGAGTATAAGTATGTTTATTTTACACATTTATTTTTTAATCCATGGTCAAATGATTTCAAATTTCTTAAATATTAATTCAAATTAAAAACAAATTATATCGGCTATCGGCCCCCATGCTTTCCAAGATATCGGCATCGGCTGTCAAAAAAACAATATCGGTCGACCACTAATTTTCACCAACAAAAAAATGGTTTAAAGTCAGTTATTTCTATCTTTTGCTGTAGTGTGTCAGTAGGAGATATCAGTTTAAGTTCCAAACATTATTTTTGCCATTAATTATAATAATCCAGAGAGATTTTTGTATCCACAAGGAGTCTGACAGCAGCCAGTGCTCCACACAGAGATCTGATCTCACCATCATCCAGTCCGTCTGGAATGACATGAAGAAACAGAACAAACTGAGACAGACTCAATCCAGAAGAGCTGTGGCAACATCTCCAAGACATTTCAAGAAACCTACCTGCACTGGAGTCTTCGACTGGAAGACAAAGGTGAGCAATGATTTCTTCACCTAAACATAAGAGATGTGTTTTCCTCTCCTTGCTAAAATTGCTGATTGGTTCAGTTAAGGCTGTGTTTGGACTATTAACCGCACAGCAAACTAGATTAGTGATTCTTAAATGGTACTAGTACCAGTGACCCCAAACTAGGTTGTTGTCTCTTATGTTCGGACGAAAGGGAAAATCAGTGCACTTAACCATATAATGGTGCATATTTAGTACAGCAAAATAAACAACAGTCTCATCAATGTTTAAAGGGAGAGGAAGCACATTCCATTTCTTCCAAGTCTGTGCAACTTACAAATTCATGAATCACTTGTTAGAAGCAAATTAGACAAATGCCACCATGAACAGGTGATGTGCCCTCACAATACACAACAAAATACACAAAGCGAAGGAAAATACAAACCAGACTACATTAAATAAGTTCAGTTGCAACATACCTAAACCTGGTTTGTGCTGTCTTTATGTGCTACATGTGGGATTCATATTATTTTTAATATTATATATTATTATTATTTTCAGTAAATGTAAATTATATTGATTATAAAAACAGGGTTGTATTTTCCTGCACTGAGATCTCCAGGTGTAAGTAACTTTGTATTTGCAGGCTCCTAAGACATGGACAAAAATTGGCAAAAATCTTCCCAATGACTTGCTTGGACTGTTACGGAATTTGCGCAATGCACTGGGACATCAGTAAGTACAGAAAAGGGGCGATATGTAAATCTAGCATTTTGCAGGATACAAGTTTAACAAAGAAAACCTCCAGTTTCATCTATGATTTTTGTATTTATTATCGTATATTATATATTGTATATTATATATTATAAGATCTACCTCTTTTAATAGGGAAAAAGAGTTCTATGAAAAGAAGATGATTGATGAGTTTCCAGATTTCCTCATCAGTTTACATAGACTGGCTGTGGAAATGGGCTGGGAATATTGAAGATGCTGAGAAATTGCATGCAGACACCTGTACATGGTCTTTCTTTTTGTTTTCATAGTTTTGATCATGTACTTTTTTGGAGGCAAATATTTAACTTTTCAGTCTTTTGCTGCCTCAATTGCTTTACACTTAATGTTGATTATTGGTGTTTTAATGGTCCCTAAACATTTTTAAACTCCACAATATTGGTTTCAGCTCTAAACTACTGAAGGTGGTTTTTAAAGCCTGCATAGTGTTGCAATTTATGTTTTTAACTAAAGTCAATATTGATATTTTCAACTTGTTTGCTTGTTGTATATTCATTGACTCAGTGTTGTAATGCTAAATGAATTGCATTTGTATAATGTGAAAGGATTTGTAAAAACAGTCAAAGAGTGTGTCTTCTGAAGATCACATACTGCACACTATACAATACAATTTATAGCATTTATTTTATTTTGTTTTTAGTTTCTAAGAGTTTTTTTTTTTTTATCTTGCACTGGAATTTTGAATAAAACTCTTTATATTGATTTCTGACTCTTGAGTGTTTTTTAACATTTAAAATGTGTTAATATTTCAAATATATCAGTAAATCTCAAATGTTCGCGTCAGGAAGTAACCATAGCAACAGTGGGCTGCTCAAGCACAAAACGTAAATGTTGTTATAATTTACCACTACATACCTCAGTTATGTCTCTCTTCCATTTGTAATAACGACGATTTGAGAAAACTAAGCAGAACTGAGTTTGTTGAACTGTAGAGGTGTGGATTTCTTGGAAACTACAGCTCTCGTGTTGTTGTGTGCTGTCACTGATTGGCTGCTTTGTTTTCCTTTTCCGCCCTCATCGTAGCTTCATGTTTCACCTGTCTAGCGTCCTGATTTCTGCACGAATAGAAGTTATACGTGATTATTAATAAACTAGAGGTATGTGAAACTCACATCTGTATTTATGGCACCAAATATGAGTGTTTATTAGCTGCTGGATTATTGTGCCCTGCTTGACTGACTGCGCTCTTGGTCAGTTTTGCAAAGTAATTCCTTTCGATTTCAAATAAGTAAAGTCGACCTGTTTATATCACGAACTGTAGTCGAAAGTCTTAAATAAATAAATAAATAAAAATACTGTCTACTGAATGTACGATGACTTTGGTGACAACATGATAGGGGGCATGTTGTCACACTACTCGGGGTAAGTTGTCACAATGGAACCTGCAATTAAACAGCCTATTGTAGGAAGCAAAACAATTATGACAACAACAAAAAATAATTATTTTGGCTGACAGAAATTACAGTGTGACAACTCGCTCCAACTTGATGCTTATAACATGTAAAGTGCCCTTGCTTTGTAGATTAGTGCAACCTTTCAGTTAAAATCTGTTTTGACTATGACTTTGCATTTGTTTTTGATTTAAATGATTAAGAATATACAATAATTAATATAAAGCAGCATGATAATATTTTTGTATTACTTTTTTGTCTTCTTAGCAATTTTACACTGAAGAAGAACAATGGAACATCAGTGTAAGTTTCATATTCACTTCAACTTCAATGCACCACCTTTGAAATAATATTGGCACAGATCTAATTCACTTGATGACTTACTAGTTGATTTGTTGGTTTTTTACCGGGTACTGAAGGTGAGAAATGGTTGATAGCCTGATTGATATTTGATGCTGAGTTTGTGGACACAAACTATGAGGCTCTCATTCAGAGAGTAACATCTGTGATGCCCATCACTGATAAGCTGTATGAAAACAGAAAGCTTACCTGGGAAGTGTAGACTTCTAAAAAGACTCAATTGAGAGAGCTTCTAGACATTGTCAAATCTGGAGGACCTGCAGTAAAATCTGCTTTTTACAAAGTACTGCAAGAAATCAACCCTGGTGTCATTCAAGAACTTGCAGGTAGGGTATTAGAGGAAAAAATGAAGAAAACTATTTATTTAAACCATATATATATTTTCAGATTTTATCTAAAATGGATTTTGCAGGGCCATCCTCACAGATAGACAGACCTGAGAATGATATCGTCAGGTGGAACCCATCCTCAATGAAGTACATCGTGATTTCAAATTATGCTGCACTTCATGCATTTGCCCACTGTCATATTCATGTAATTTTCACTGTGTGCTGTATGTAAAATGAGTGTTACCCCTGGCTTTATTTGAAAAATATGATTCCCAATTATATTCTTATTAAATATTTATTTATTTGTGAAAAATACTTTGCCATCTAAAGTATATGGGGCGATTCCAGGATTTTCATTTTAGGGGGGCTCAGCCCCCAATGCAATGAGGGTATATATATATATATATATATAAACTAAAAACAAATATATATTCATATATATATGAAAATGGCAACATCGTTTTATAAAGTATATGTGTTCGTGCTTCGTTTTCACTGGAGGAAACCTGTGGTGTGATGAGGGGTGAACGCAGCGAAAACTTATTAGGCTAGTAGATGGGGAACCGATTGCTCCCCCATGATATTTTGTGAACAGTTCCAAACATTATTTTTGCCATTAATTATAATAATCCAGAGAGATTTTTGTATCCACAAGGAGTCTGACAGCAGCCAGTGCTCCACACAGAGATCTGATCTCACCATCATCCATAACAATCTATCGATAAACACACACCTTGTCCTCTGTTTCTCGCTCTGCGCCGCGCGGTCTGCGGACTGAAGAATGCGCTGAAAGACGGGGAGGAGCCGATCGAAGTCTACCGCCGTTTTCAGATTAGTGATGACCGGTTCGCGAACGAATCGTTCAATTTAACCATCTCCAAGACATTTCAAGAAACCTACCTGCACTGGAGTCTTCGACTGGAAGACAAAGGTGAGCAATGATTTCTTCACCTAAACATAAGAGATGTGTTTTCCTCTCCTTGCTAAAATTGCTGATTGGTTCAGTTAAGGCTGTGTTTGGACTATTAACCGCACAGCAAACTAGATTAGTGATTCTTAAATGGTACTAGTACCAGTGACCCCAAACTAGGTTGTTGTCTCTTATGTTCGGACGAAAGGGAAAATCAGTGCACTTAACCATATAATGGTGCATATTTAGTACAGCAAAATAAACAACAGTCTCATCAATGTTTAAAGGGAGAGGAAGCACATTCCATTTCTTCCAAGTCTGTGCAACTTACAAATTCATGAATCACTTGTTAGAAGCAAATTAGACAAATGCCACCATGAACAGGTGATGTGCCCTCACAATACACAACAAAATACACAAAGCGAAGGAAAATACAAACCAGACTACATTAAATAAGTTCAGTTGCAACATACCTAAACCTGGTTTGTGCTGTCTTTATGTGCTACATGTGGGATTCATATTATTTTTAATATTATATATTATTATTATTTTCAGTAAATGTAAATTATATTGATTATAAAAACAGGGTTGTATTTTCCTGCACTGAGATCTCCAGGTGTAAGTAACTTTGTATTTGCAGGCTCCTAAGACATGGACAAAAATTGGCAAAAATCTTCCCAATGACTTGCTTGGACTGTTACGGAATTTGCGCAATGCACTGGGACATCAGTAAGTACAGAAAAGGGGCGATATGTAAATCTAGCATTTTGCAGGATACAAGTTTAACAAAGAAAACCTCCAGTTTCATCTATGATTTTTGTATTTATTATCGTATATTATATATTGTATATTATATATTATAAGATCTACCTCTTTTAATAGGGAAAAAGAGTTCTATGAAAAGAAGATGATTGATGAGTTTCCAGATTTCCTCATCAGTTTACATAGACTGGCTGTGGAAATGGGCTGGGAATATTGAAGATGCTGAGAAATTGCATGCAGACACCTGTACATGGTCTTTCTTTTTGTTTTCATAGTTTTGATCATGTACTTTTTTGGAGGCAAATATTTAACTTTTCAGTCTTTTGCTGCCTCAATTGCTTTACACTTAATGTTGATTATTGGTGTTTTAATGGTCCCTAAACATTTTTAAACTCCACAATATTGGTTTCAGCTCTAAACTACTGAAGGTGGTTTTTAAAGCCTGCATAGTGTTGCAATTTATGTTTTTAACTAAAGTCAATATTGATATTTTCAACTTGTTTGCTTGTTGTATATTCATTGACTCAGTGTTGTAATGCTAAATGAATTGCATTTGTATAATGTGAAAGGATTTGTAAAAACAGTCAAAGAGTGTGTCTTCTGAAGATCACATACTGCACACTATACAATACAATTTATAGCATTTATTTTATTTTGTTTTTAGTTTCTAAGAGTTTTTTTTTTTTTATCTTGCACTGGAATTTTGAATAAAACTCTTTATATTGATTTCTGACTCTTGAGTGTTTTTTAACATTTAAAATGTGTTAATATTTCAAATATATCAGTAAATCTCAAATGTTCGCGTCAGGAAGTAACCATAGCAACAGTGGGCTGCTCAAGCACAAAACGTAAATGTTGTTATAATTTACCACTACATACCTCAGTTATGTCTCTCTTCCATTTGTAATAACGACGATTTGAGAAAACTAAGCAGAACTGAGTTTGTTGAACTGTAGAGGTGTGGATTTCTTGGAAACTACAGCTCTCGTGTTGTTGTGTGCTGTCACTGATTGGCTGCTTTGTTTTCCTTTTCCGCCCTCATCGTAGCTTCATGTTTCACCTGTCTAGCGTCCTGATTTCTGCACGAATAGAAGTTATACGTGATTATTAATAAACTAGAGGTATGTGAAACTCACATCTGTATTTATGGCACCAAATATGAGTGTTTATTAGCTGCTGGATTATTGTGCCCTGCTTGACTGACTGCGCTCTTGGTCAGTTTTGCAAAGTAATTCCTTTCGATTTCAAATAAGTAAAGTCGACCTGTTTATATCACGAACTGTAGTCGAAAGTCTTAAATAAATAAATAAATAAAAATACTGTCTACTGAATGTACGATGACTTTGGTGACAACATGATAGGGGGCATGTTGTCACACTACTCGGGGTAAGTTGTCACAATGGAACCTGCAATTAAACAGCCTATTGTAGGAAGCAAAACAATTATGACAACAACAAAAAATAATTATTTTGGCTGACAGAAATTACAGTGTGACAACTCGCTCCAACTTGATGCTTATAACATGTAAAGTGCCCTTGCTTTGTAGATTAGTGCAACCTTTCAGTTAAAATCTGTTTTGACTATGACTTTGCATTTGTTTTTGATTTAAATGATTAAGAATATACAATAATTAATATAAAGCAGCATGATAATATTTTTGTATTACTTTTTTGTCTTCTTAGCAATTTTACACTGAAGAAGAACAATGGAACATCAGTGTAAGTTTCATATTCACTTCAACTTCAATGCACCACCTTTGAAATAATATTGGCACAGATCTAATTCACTTGATGACTTACTAGTTGATTTGTTGGTTTTTTACCGGGTAC